TTCCCCGATCAAATAAAGCAATTTGTAATATCAGTAGGTGAGGACTTTGGACTAAAGGATGAATTGACTGACAAACACAATTATTTTACTACAAGGCCTATTCACTAAGATAGATGAGCTATTATAACACCATTAGTTATTTTATCTCATGATAACATTAACTAAAAATATTCAATTCACAAACGTAAATGTCACCAATACGTGTAATCTTCATTTTTCCATATACAGGTTTTATTAAGTTTTACAGATAACAAACAGGTATTATTTTACTGAATGGATTCAAACATGCTTGGAATAAACATAGGGGTATACTTACACAAAGAAGTTATAATAAATAAATAAATAACCAAAAAAAAATTTAAAATATTTTTTTAAAATTGGACAGATTTGATGGACCACTTGCTCTTTTTATTCCATTACTCTTTAGTGTATCTGTCATAGTAGTATCAATATCAAAAAGCAAAAACATTGTAATAATAAAAGATATAGTAATATTGCAACAGTGTTAGGTCTTTTATACATTCACATTTACACCATCTACAAGTCTTTTAACATCCTTTTTAAATATTGCATGTCTACCCTGAGGCATCTTATCTATACCAATCAATGTCAGAGCAGATGGGCGGTTATTATTGTCTCACAATTGGGTTATCAAAGAAGGCCCTACCTTGTGTATAAATAGGTTTATCCCCTCTACTTAAAGTGTTCCACCTAAGAGACGAAAAGAGAATAAAGAGAATGGGGAGAGAGAAGAAAATGTTTCCATATGAAATTAACATACATTTGTTGCCTGATAAATTATTTTATTTCATCAAGTGTTATCTTATCTCCACCTCAGACAGCTCTTTTTTCCTGCTCTCCTCCATAGAAAGTTATCATCAGCGTGAAGCTGGTGTTATTTTAAGGGGTGATAACCTGTGTGGTAATGTTTGTGAATAATGACTTTTACATCGATTTTATCATAAGGGTCACAAAAATAACACTGGCAGTGTTATAATAGCACCCTAGCACCACTACACATACAGAGCAGGCTACATAAAGTGTGTTATACATCTTTGTGAAATAAGATTGAAGAGATATGAGATACGTGAGGTGTACTATAAAGGAAAAATAAAAGGCAAACAAAAGAAAAACAGCTTTGTGAATTCAGCTGTATTTGTAGTTATACTGTTGCAGTGATAAATAATCTATAATATATGGAGCAATTATATGAACCACTAAAATACTTTTCCATTAGAGATATAAAATGAATGTTGACTGAATAAGATGTGAATGAAACAAAAAGACCTTGAATGTTTATCAACAGTCACCAAGTATTACCTTTTTATTTGTTTTAATTTTTTTTTTTAGCTAGAATAAATTTGGCATAGTGGGGTTTATTTACTAAAGTTGGTTCACTCAGAATCTCATGCACTTCTGCATAGAAACCAATCAGCTTACAGGTTTTATTGCTAAAGCTTGAGGTTAGAAGCTGATTGGCTACCATGCACAGATGCACCAGATTCTGAGTGAACCAAGTTTAGTAAGTCTCCTCCAGTTTGCTTTATGTGTATGAGCATAGAAATGTGTTCTAGCACATGGATAAAGGCAACCTGAACCAAAAGAATTATATTGTCTGCTTTTGCTGACTTGTTCTGAAAACCCTTGTGGTCTGAATGTCATGCTGATCCAATGGCTTTTAAACCCCATTCACACCTGAGCATTTTGTAGTATGAAGCTCCAAAATATGCAGGGAGAAAAAAAATCAATGCATCTCTATGGTGGTTGTTCACATCTCCACACTAAAATGCCTGAAGCCAAGCGCCTGACGCTCAAAAAAGTTTTGCAGCTAATTTTGTGGCTCAATTTGGGCAGATTGGTGTTTTGGGGAGTTTTGAGTCCCTTAGAAGTACATTGGTGCAAAAACATGCAATATTCAATATTGTAACTAGTAAGACAATTACATGATAATAGAATATGATAATGTGCTATCTTTGCAATGCTGAATAATAAGATGTCAGACTGGTATTTCAACTCTATTTTCTATTTAGAATACTTCTGTAAGAGTATCTATGATGTGTCTTTATTATTTTTTTTTTTTACTAGTAATGGCGGCAATCAGCAACTTATAGCGGGACTGCGTGGACATTCTGACACTGGGGGAACTGACTTGGTGTCACTGACATCCTCAATGATACCAATACAGTGATCAGTGCTAATAAAAAGCACTGACACTGTACTAATGGCACTGGGCAGGAAGGGGTTAACATCTGGGGCGATCAAAGGGTTATCTGTTCTGTGTGTGTTTTACTATGGGGCTCTGTCTGTGCTTTCCACTGTAAGCACACTGCTTTGTATGGCTCTGCTATGGTCTATTTGTCCTGTTTACCATTATCATTGAAACTGAAAGTAAAAGAAAATCCCAAATTTTGGGTTGTCCCCAGAAAAGTAATAGAGGGGAAATCTTCCAATGGGGACACTAGATCTGGTGACCTGGGGGTCCCCAAGAGATTCCCTTAATTTGCAGGGATTTCTACTCACTTCCTGTTTTAGCTTTGAGACAGAAAGTGAAGGAAAATCTCTGCAATGGGACAGCAAAAAAAATGACAGGGGTTATAACCCTCTCTTACTCTGTCCAAGCTGAAAAAACAAGTTTTGCTTTTAGTTCTACTTTAATTGAAAATAGTTGTATTTTTTTATGAGTATCCTTTTCAAGGTGTATTAACTTTGTGAATTGATCCTGCTGTATGTTTTTAACTCCTTCCTGCCACCTCCCAGTAGCCCATTTAAGTGGATCTTAATGCCAGGAGTGGAGGGTGTGTCCCAATCAAATGATTACTGAGATTGGCTCTCACAGCCAATAAATGATTGAAAAACCATCCCTGTCTCTTGACAGATTGTATAGTGTATGACCAGCCTAAATATCCACGATGGGGATACACACAGCAATGAAATCTTGACAGTTGTTCTAGCCCCTCACCACTATTATCAAATAAATCTTTGCTTTTAGTTATACTTTAATTCTCTGCTACAGTCCAAATATTTATTGAATATTTTTATCTCTTTACATATTTGTTTTCTGAAATGTAAATGTTTGTCTAAAGTTATCTTATAAAAAATAGGAAAGCACAATCAGTTCAGCTACTGACCAAATTATAGCAAGTTCAAATGAACTTGTGCAAAGACCGATAAAAAATAAAATCTCCAAAATGGCTCTAATGTGCAAAAGAATCTTATCAAACCTAATTATGTTCTAGCTACTAGATAACCAGTAAACAGGTATCAGTCTCTAAAAACAGACGATTCATTTTAACTACCATATAGCTGCTGTCCATCAACATCTGATGTCAAAGTAAGTGCATTATAAATCAAGTTACCATGTTTGTCATTTATATATCACCACCTTCAATTAAGAGAGTGAAAGATAAACAGCTGGAAACCTGTGTATCTATGTTAGTTCCCTTTTCCTCATTGTTATTTTGTTTTTAAAGAACTAATTAGCTGACACATGCAGTTGGAAGAAAAGGGTATTCCCTGGTACTGTGCAAGAAATATATATATATCTTTATTGTTATGCTTCTTGTTGTGATATCTGTTTCCCCACTTTAGCTATTTGGTTGTTGAATGAACCTTTCACAACATATACTTACAGCATAATTAGCATTTGTTTAAGACAAAAAAAAAATCTATACTTGAGCTAGGTGTTTGTTTTTATTAGAACTCCAAGGCTCTAAGTGAGGAATTTGTAGGGCTTTCTTTTTTGGTATTTGTAATTTCTACAACTAAAACTAATAACCCATGAGATTAGCAAAAGTTTCTGGAATATTTTTCTTAAAATGTTTATTTTTCAAATTATATTGATATGTTTATACTCAGTGGTGACCCAACACTGATAAAACTGATAGGCATGCACATATACAAGAGAGTTGTCAAAGTGCCATTTGCATGCAGATCTATTCATTCTTTTTGAGATATTGAATCCCTGGAGTTTGTGATTTCCCTTGAGTTCCTGCATTTTTGTGTTAATATTTGCTTGTACATGTCTCAGTATTTCAACAATGAAAAGTGGTTTTCTATCAATGCAGCAGCTGTCTTTGAGCAGACCTATAGTCTTTTTCCAATGTTTTCACCTGCAAATGGTAAAGCAGAGTTCCTGGCTTCCCTCCAAAAAATTAAAAGCCAGCAGCTATAAATACTGTAGCTGCTTACTTTTAATATAAGGACAGTGACTTGTCTTGGAATCCAGCGATGTCCCCACCCAAGCTAATTTTTTAATCGGCTGTGGGGGCAGGTGCCAGCATCTTCAGTAAGGGAAACCAGCAGGGAAGGCTTGCAGCTTCACAGCCGATTCTCTACTGCTCGTGTGTGAAGAGTGCTGTGCTTTGCGTATGGTCTTGCAGTCTTCTGGGACCTGTGAAGTGTCCCAGAAGGCTGTGGAGGAAAGAGGCGCGAACTTCTGGTTCAGATTTTCGCAGGGCATCTGACCAGAAGTGGGAGCGGGTACCTGTCAAAACCATGTGCCCACTCCCAACCTCCTACCCAAAAAGTGCCACATGTGGCAGTAGAGGGGAGAGGGCACAGACAAGCAGAACTTCCCCTTTTGGGTGAAGTTCTGCTTTAACCACTAGCCTACAGGGCACTTATACCTCCTTCCTTCCCAGGCCAATTTCCAGCTTTCAGCGCTCTCACACTTTGAATGAAAATTGCACGGTCATGCAACACTGTACCCACATGAAATTTTTATCTTTTTTTGTGACAGATAGAGCTTTCTTTTGGTGGTATTTAATCACCTCTGGGTTTTTTTATTTTTTCTTAAACAAACCAAAAACCACTGAAAATTTTGAAAAAAAAGTTTTTTCTTAGTTTTTGTTATAAAATTTTGTAAATAAGTAATTTTTCTCCTTCACTGATGTGCGCTAAGGAGGCTGCACTGATGGGCACTGATAGGTTGCACTGATGGACACTGATGAGGACGCACTGGTAGGTGGCACTGATGGGCATTGACAGGCATCACTGACGGGCACTGAAAGGCAGCACTGATACATGGCACTGATAGGTGGCACTGATAGGCGGCACTGACTGGCACTGATAGGCGGCACTGACTGGCACTGTTAGGCGGCACTGATGCACACTGATAGGCAGCACGGACTGGCACTGATAGGCGGCACTGACTGGCACTGATAGGTGGCACTGATTGGCAGCACTGATAGGTGGCACTGATTGGCATTGATGGGTGACACTGAAAGGCAGCTCAGATGGGCACTGATATGTGGCATTGATGTGCACTGGTAGGCACTGATATGTGGCACTGATGAGCACTGACACAAGGCACTGACAGGTGGCACTGTTGGGGCTACACTGATCTTCAGGGCACACTGATTATCAGTGCCCTGATGATCAGTGTACATGTCCCCTCCGCGGAAAGCTGATTACCGGCTCTCCTCTCGAGCTGTCAGCGTGACAGCTCGAGAGGAGAGAAATGCCGATAACCGGCATTTCCCTGTTTACATGTGATCAGCTGTGATTGGACACAGCTGATCACATGACCGAGCCGACATCTTCGGCTCTCTTTCCGTGATCGGTGATCCGCTGTGTCCTAGGGACACAGCGCACCGCCGATTGCCGCACTGCGCGCTCCCTTGGCCGCACATGCGCAGTGAGAATGGGAGGACGTCATATGATGTCCTCCCAGAACGAGAGAACCACCTTGCGCCCGTCATATTACTATATAGCGGGTGGGAGGTGGTTAAAGAAAATAGTTATGTAAACAGTCTTACCAGTGTTAGCTAATGAGATATATATATATATATATATATATATATATATATATATTATCTTTTGCAGGGCTTGTTTTCTCAGATAATAGGTGTAGGAACTCAGCCGTATCCAAACCCCCCCCCCCCCAACCACACACACACACACACTCTCTCCAAACTGAATCAAACAGTGGATGTGGTCAAATTTTCTCTACAGCGGGAGGGTCTTAAAGGGGAATTAAATACTAGGAGTGTTTTATGAACTGAGTGCAGAGTTTGGGGGGGTTACATACAGAGTGAAGAGTTTGAGGGTGTGATATGTGCAGATTTCGGGGGTGCGCTACATACAGGAGTGCAATGCATACAAAGTGCAGAGTTCGGCCTTCTTCTATAGCTGCTTACTTCTGCATCCCCCATCCAAATCTTACTTGCACCCTTCTTCAGCTCTGACAGCTACCCCCCTCTACTGCCCCCATCTTCTTCCCCCTTCTTAAAAACTCCACCATCTTCCACATGTCTTATTTTTGTTGCTGTATTAAGCTGAAGCACCCAACGGACTCTAGCACCTCCCCCCCACACACTGTAGGTGGCTCCGCCTCTCTCACTTGCAAGAAAATCATCCAGGGGAGGTGTCAGCATCTGCACTGTGCCCTAGGCACCTGCATCTCCCTTGTCCCCCATCCTCCACTCAGTGGGAGCCACTCAGGAGATCAAATCTGTGGAAGCTGTTGGGAGACAAGCTGACACCTGTAAACACTTTTGTGTTTACAAGTGATAGTGGAGAGCAGGGAACTGAAGGCCTGAGCCAGAGGTGGTGGAACTGAGTTCTAGCTGAAAAGAAGCCCATATTTTTTCTATTTGTAATGTGTAATAAAAAGATCCATGGGATAGCCATATTGACTGATTACACACTCACCGGTCACTTTATTAGGTACACCTTGCTAGTGCCAAGAAAATATCCCCCACACCATTACACACTACCACCAGCCTGAACTGTTGGTAAAACGCAGGATGGATCCATGCTTACATGTTGTTTACGTTAAATTCTGACCCTACCATCTGAATGTCGCAGCAACTAGTCTGCCCATTCTCCTCTGATATAAACAAGGCATTTTTGTCCACACAACTGCTTCTCAATGGATATTTTCTCTTTTTGGACTGTTCTCTGTAAACCTTAGAGATGGTTGAGTGTGAAAACCCCAGCAGATCAGCAGTTTTTGAAATACTCAGACCAGTCCGTCTGGCACCAATAACCATGCCACATTCAAAGTCACTTAAATCTCTTTTTTTCCCCATTCTGATGTTTGGTTTGAACTTCAGAAAGTCATCTTTACCATGCCTAGATGCCTAAATGTATTGAGTTGCTGCTATTTGATTGGCTAACAGGTGTACCTAATAAGGTGACCGGTGAGTGTATATAGAGGTTGTGCTTCTGTCTTTGTAGTGTTGTACAGTGATTTTATTTTACTCAGTCTATTCACATTGATAACAATACACTCATAATGCTCATTTCAATAAGATATAAGAATCTTTATTTTTAGCAATGACAGCTGAAAATAACAATATATCCAGAAACAATGATTGTTATCATAAATAACATATTACACAACGTAATTTGTTGAGTCAATTATATGTTTTACTCCATATCTGATTCTATTTCAGCCATTGTTCTGCAGGTATTCTGAATGGCAGGTCTAATATACAGTAAATATCTGAATGGAGAATTTAGAAACTGGTATACAAAAAAAATAATTATTAATAAACTGAGCAACAAGTGAGTATCAAATATATATATGTAACACCAAAAATGTCCAGTAGATGTTACAGTGCTAAGTTTCATCTGTTTTCATTTAAATACAGTACTTTTAGTTTAAATGGGATGTGTAGTGTTGTTATTTATTATTATTTTATAATGTTTAGAACTAAAAAATAAAATAGTTTCTATTCCTACGCCACCCATATTTAAGTTTTTTTTATTTATAAAAATGTTATTCAAAGCCCAATTTCTTTTACCTGAAATCACAATCCCTTTAAAGGTCAGGCCCTTCATGCATTTGTCCAGGTTGATTCCTAGTGATGTGGACACTGCCAATTTGCTGTAAAAAGTTTACTTTATATAGTCCTCACAGGGTCTTTAGTGGTTTTTCAGCCTTAAAGCAGCAGCTCCATGACATCACAGTGCATAGGGCAGTAACAAGGCCAGAAGGCTTGACAAAGAGCAGCAACTGATCACTAGGCCCAGTTACTGGAAGAGGTGCTAAGATTGGTAATATGACTTAAGATTTGGGTAAGTGATTCGGAGTCTTAGAAACTTTTTTTTTTAACCAGAATGGCTAGAAGGGAGTAGGGTAGGACATATTTATTTATAGATTTATATTAGCTAGCTTTAAAAATTCTGGTTTTGTTCTCTTGATGTCAAAGCCATTTTCTGACAGCAAATCACAGCCAGACAATGACTTCCCATTTAAAGTGTATGTGCAGTCATTACTCGGATTTATCCCCAAATATCCCTCTCCACATCTAGCTCATGTCTCAGCATTATTTTCTTTTTCAAACTTTGTTTCTGCATCAAGAAAAAGCTTTTATTTTTCCCTATGATGTCATTAACCAGGCTTGTAAGCCTCTCTCAGGAGCTGCACATGATCTTATACCTACTACTGTTATAGCCACCCATGACTAAGCTCTGTGGGCGGAGCGGAATGTGTTGGGGGCGTGGCCTGGTTGGAGTCTGCGGACGTCATACACCTTCTTATGTGGTTTTGCAGAGATGTGCGACTTTCAGGATTTTTTCCATTAGGTGTCTAGAGCTGGGATGAGCTCTGTCCTTGTCTTCACTCCAAGCAGTTGCTACATAAGAGGACCCAGTGGAGCTTTGAGCTGCACCTGTCAATTTAGTTTGGATTCAGTCATTCGGATCTTTCTGAAAGGAGCGGTGCCACTGTTTTAACAAGAAATTGAAGGGATAAATAAGGGAAATATTAATTGTTAATATTATTTAGTGTAAAAAGTTTGCACTTAGGATTTCTATGCACAAGGGGTACTAACATTCCCATTAGGAGTTATTAAAGAAACAGAAAACCAAATTTTTTTTTGGAGAGATTTACACAAAAATATGTTTTGAAATAATATATTTGATTCATGGTTTCAACTGACTACTGTGTGTTTAGTAATAACCAACGGAGGATTGGCTGAGAATTTCTAACCTGCTTAACTGACATCTTGGCGGTGATAAAAAAAAGTGGTGCTGCTGTTCCAATCTGTATAAGATCATTGTTCAATTATGACAAAGCTGCTTAGCATAGTCTGTTGAAATCATAATTCCATCTCGGCTAACATTTTGAAGTTTAAAGTGGTTGTAAAGGCATTCTCTGCATTAAGGTTAAATACCTTTTATGTGCAGCTCTCCCCCAATACATACTTGTGCCAGATCTCCGTCCAGCACTGTGCCCAAGAGAAATGTCTCTGCTCTCTATCTCCCTCCTCACTGTACTTAGTGAGAGCAGAGGGGGCCATTGACTCCTGCTGCTGTCAATCAAATCCAGTGACTAGACAGCAGGGAACCGTCTAAGCAGCACTGAGTGCCACTGTGGGAAGCTGCTTCCTTAATGGCACACAGAAAAGGAGGAGCCCAGAGTGCTAGCGGGGGACCCCAGAAGGGGAATATTGGGGATGCTCTGTGCAATGGTAACAGATAAGTACAACATATTTGTTAATAAAAGAAAATATTTTACAATTAATTTAATTTATTGCCAGTCACACAAGAGAAAAATACATTATTTTTAGTAGACGAGCATTGATAACCTAAAAGGTCCGAACAGCTATGAAGCTTTGATAATCTGATGATCTGTTTGACTGTTATATATGGTGTCTTATTTTTGCAGTACATCTGCAAATGATAGAAGTGCAGTGTTGACATCATTACAATTACATCCAGCATTATACACTGCTTGTGATATGCTTTATGAATGCATTCAAGACATTCCATGCATTAAAATGTATTGGCCGGAACACAAGAACAAGTGTGTAATATCATTTGTGGTAAGTAAAAAATAAATCTATCATCTCGCACCCTGCATATGGGCAACTCATGTGTGACATCCCCACCATTATAAAAGGTAGGTTAACATTTCTGCCACAGTAATTATGACAGAATCTACCCTTGCTGTGCCACCCTCACATACTACAAGGGGTAACTGCTCATTCAGTCTAGGGGTTCATGAAAAAGGAGTGATATTTACCTTATTCCTCACTCCAGCAGAGTCCCTCTAGCACTGCTACTGGTCCTGCAAAGCCTCTTCTATACAATGCAAGGTTAATATCTCTGCTTCGTATGTATGTGATGATGCCAAGGGACTGCCCACAGTCCGAAGCACTGGAGTGAAAGGAGGAGAGTGCTGGAGCCAACTGGATAAGTGTTACAGTCTTTTCAGACATAATGATAATTTAACCTCTGCAGTGAAGAAGACTCCACTGCAAGAGCAGATTTTGAGTCTGGCTTTAGGGTTTATTATCATACCACCTTAAAAGATAACTAAAAAATGGAACAAATAGACAGCATACTGAAGTTGTGTAAAATCATCAATACAACTTTATTTCACATACGTATTGTACTCACAAAAAACTTCATGAACTCACATATCATAGGCAGCACAGTGGTTAAGTGAGTAGCACTTCTGCTTGGTTCAAATCCCAACCACGGCACTACCTACCTGGAGTTTGCATGTTCTCTCTGTGCATGTGTGAGTTTCCTCCAGGCGCTCTGGTTTCCTTTCACACTCCAAAGTCATGTTGGTAGGTAAATTGGCCCTAGTATGTGTATGTATGAATGTGAGTTAGGGACCTTAGATTGTAAGCTCCT